TTTCTGTGAACATGTGTGCTGTTGTGTATCTCAGTTCTCTTATTTTAGGCTTGCTAGGAATCAGAGCCTTTATCATTTTCTTATGTATTCAGTCTTTAAATCATAGGCTTTTTTTCTTCTTGACCTTCTTGTATGTTAACATTTATACTCAATGTTAGAGAAAATTACTCCCATTTCCTCAGTGGACACTAATCCAAATAATTCTAATGTGGATTATGAAGGTAATGTGTCACTAACAGCTGAGCTTCCAGTTAAGTCTACAACTGGAACGGAGCCATATATTTATTGGAAACTTAATGTGCATCCGTCTTTTCTTTCCTCATCCGTCTTCTCATAACTGCTTTGAAACAGCCGGCCTGAAATGCGACATAAAAATAACTGGCATCTTCTCGTTTTCACTGCCAGTTTTAATTGATTTACCTTTGGAAATTTATGATTATGCGTGGGAGAAACCGTAATAATATGTCCATCCGGAATGAGCATTGCGTCTTCTGCCAACAAATAGACTGGCAGCATCCTCAAAGCTCTCCCACTCGCTCTTTTCTTCTCTCTGCCAGCATCTGCAGCATGGTCAGCTCAAGCACTTCTATCTGCTATGGCAGTAATCATTGCTGAGCATTATGTCCATCTGGCATACAGGCAGCTCCTTAAACCGCATTGCAACATTACTCAGTGGTCACTTAATGAGAGCCAGACAGAGCAGCATTTCATTAGAGTTCAGTCTAGAAAAAATATCCAGCTTGGAAGTGACTTGTTCATTCCTCTTTAGCTCAATTACACCTCCAATCATGGTTCTCAAGTAACTGTCTTTGAGGGCTTATAAATGCACTATTCCAATGATTTTGAGCAAAACAGGGGCTTCGTTTATGAGGTTGTAACTTTAATGAAAAGAGTAATGACTCAGCAGTGAATCTAAGTTGCATTGTGGCGGTGCAGCAGTACGCACCAGTCACACTTTGCCGAGTACCTTGGTTTTGGTTTGAAGATTTCAGTTTGGTACAAGCAGAAAAAAATCTAGAAATACTTAATACTGGGTTTAGAACATTTATCCAGATATTTGATTGACACCGATGATTTTGACGATAGCCCTCAACAAAATGTAATGTTTGTCTCTGGTTTCTCAATCGGTGACTATGTCATATTTTTATGACCTTTTTGTGTTTTTATGATGCAAAGCACTTTGAACTGCCATGTTGCTGAAATGTGATAAATAAACTTGATTGATTGATTTCTACTAACTTTGCCTGTTTCAGCTCCATTAGGAAAATAATTGTCTATTTCCCAAGTAAGAGAGAATGAAAAAAAGACAGTGAATGTGAATACACCTTGATCCTGCTTTTGGATGCACTGATATGAAAATCTGGGCCGATACCTATATCGGATATTAATATTGCCGGTAAGGCCAATAACTAGGGCTGTCGCTATATGTAATAAAACAATCGCATGAAAAATCAAAACAAACTCAGTAATTTCTATTTGCCATGATTTATTGTTTTTCTCTCTCTTTCTACCAAAAAACATGACAAAAGTCTTCAGTCTGGTGATTTGGTCTCAAGTAGCAATTTTGTTGATGGACAGTTTTATTTACAGAGACTTCATAATTTAGCTTATTTTTTGTTGTTGTTGTTGTTTTGTTGATTTATTTTGGATATAAAAAACATCTTCCAGTTCCAGTGTTAGATACTCACTAGAATATAAAGTTTATAAATATTTGAGAAAATGTTCGGACTTTACTATGCCATTACCATTATATTACTGGAAAGTTGTCTCAAAACAACATTATCATTTGTCGCAACAACTTCTGGGACAAATTATTGTGCAGGAAAATGTATTGTGATAGGCCTAACAATAAAACCTTTGAAAAAAATTACCACATCACCGACTTCACTGCTTCTCTGCTTCAGTTTAACTTCCCACAATCCAGTGCTGCATCACTCTGATGTAAAACCCTTTGAGTGGCCACCATGCCTGGAACGACATTATATAAATTCAGTCCATTTTCGGTTCAATGTACATATTTACCATTGAACAAAAGCAAAAGACGGTGTGAAGATGCTGGCTGGAGTTGATAAGAGAGTGTTGTCATAAAGTGAAACAAGCGCTGTAGTGATATGAGTTGAAACTGAAATCAGCCAAGGAAGATGGCATTACTCCAAGAGCAATATAAAAAGACAGATCACAGCTTTTACACTGAGAGAAAAAGACTCTGCGATTTCTGTAAACATGTCATGATTTCTGATGAAACTGTAACTGAACTGTTTGGTTATTATAGGTCTGTCAGGAGGAACGAACCAAAATTACACTTTTAACAACACACTTGACCCAAGTCATTCAGTTCTACCTAATACTGAGGAAACGTATGTAAACTTCTGAATTTAAGGGAAGTTTCAATACATTAAGTAAAAAAAAAAAAGGGGGGGGGGGAAACTTATTATTGTGGCACTTAGCAAAGAATCAATCATTTTGGTAATTCTGGGTAATTCTCTTCTATTGAGACACGTCATGTCATATTAACCTGTGGTAATGAAATATTTCATAATTGCTTGTTGCATATTCACAAATGGCTCTGTTACATCTACTATCACATATAGTATCATTACAAGCTTGGAAAATAACACACCATATTTAAAAGCAGTAGATGAGTTATAATATAATATGATATATATTATAATACCTGGGTTTTTCATTAGTTTGGTGTTTTCTTTTTCATTGTGATTTTTGATATCTCATTCAGTTAGTTTTAATTAGTTTTCAGAGTGTGTTTTTGATACTTTTTATTAGTTGTTACTTAAATATTGTTTAGTTTTCATAGTTCTAGTAGTAGTTTTAGGTTTTTATACTCTGATTAATTTTTAGGTGCAGAATTCAAAAAGGTCAAAGTGTTGTGATTTCATTGCGTTGGTAATTAATACTCAACAGAACTTAACATTTTCAAAAATCTATTCAGTTTCTGTTAAACAACCAACCGTTTTCTCCCAACTTTTGCTGTCGCTATTTTTGCAGACTAGTGATAGCGCCACCAGGAGGAAGTTGGAATACTGTCATTTACTGACAGTTGACGTAAACGGCTGGTGTGAGGGGGAAAAAATCTATTTCACATCAGTTCAAAACACTAATAAATAGATTTATAAACACAAAAACAAAGGATATTATAATTTCAGCACATTTTAGTTAATTTTACAAATAAACATTATAGTTCCAGTTAGTTACAGTTTTTCCCCATTAATTACCGTTTAGGTTTATTTCAGTTAACGAAAATGTTTTCCCAAATTCAGTTTTGTTATTTTGCTAGTGTTATTTAACTGTAGCAATGTTGGTTATAACGTCCTGCATTGTATCATAACCAGTCACCTTAGTACTGGTGTTATTTTTTGAAAGTGTCTTTGTTTTCATTTTCAGTCGTGGCTCTCCTGGGTGAAAGCTGTGATCACTGTGATGCATCCTGTCACCTTAACGCATCTACTTGTGAATGTTTACTGTTATGATTCAGTATGTGTATATTTACCATTACACCCCAACTAAAAGCATAATTTGTCATGTTGAAAAACTATGCAAAAAAAAAAAGTCATTTTCAGGGAACTGTCCTAATGCATTATGGAACAGAAATCTGACAAATAAAAATGTAAAAAAACTTTAAAATGATAGCTCAATTTCCATCATTATTTTTATTAGAAGTTTTAATTAAATCATCATATTTTTAAGGCTTTATTTCAGTGTGAATATTAATGATTAGGTCCCCCAGCTTGTGTCATTTGAAAAGGCTGATGACTCAGCGATGAGAATCTGCTGACGTTTGGATCAGCATTACTTCCACCTGTTAACTAGCTGCCCTATAAACGGACCAAAACCGGCTAATTCTCCACCTGTATCTGGGTCTTTGCAGTTTACACAGCTGTAATTATGAGCCCTGCAGAGGTGACATCATTTTCTGTGCTGATTTTATTTTTTTTTTTAAACATTTCTTTCCCTTGATGGTGTCTTATTAAGAGCTGTTAGTGGCAGTTCTGGTGAGCGTCTCTGGTGACTCTCTCCTGCACCTGCTTTCCCTGTTTAACATTCATGAATAGTTAAAATTTGCAGCTTTTTGCTTCTGTGTCTCTTTGGGATCACCGCATACAAACAGTATGCAGTGATGGAAATGCATTTTTACTCGAGTAGAGCAAATAAAACTTGTTTTGTACAGTATAGATTTTTGGGGGTTTGAGAGAAGGACGAGATTTGTTGTGGTATTTCTTATAAGTGATCATAACATCCATTATTTTTGTGTCTTCTGTTGTTTTGTGTTTTGTTTAATATTTTCAGTTATTAAACAAACCAATCATCTTATTTTCTTCAAAGTAATGCAGTTATGATTTTCTACAGTTTCTCAGTTCGAAATACTTTATGAATTGTTTATTGACATGCTATATGCACTATACTTTTTGTGTAAAAAATTAGAAAAAAATTTTTAAAACACACTAATGTGTTGGTAAAAACATTGCTAAAGGGCTAATGGAGGAGCCATGTTGTGATGACTTCCTGAACTCAGAGTTTCAGAAAGAGCAGGAGTTTCTTAAAGAGACAGAGGCCCAGTTTCAATTAGCCGTAATGATTTTGCATTAACAACTGAAGGTAATATAGTTTCTTGCTTGTGGTATAAAATGATACTATGTGGCTGGAAAACACACAATACTGCCCCTTTAACTGATTGTTAAACCTTCACCAGTCACTTTGCAGAACCTTATTGAAATGAAAATTATCAAAAATATCTAGATAATTAATAATTGTTTTGCCTGTATGGTTACTTGGTGACCATGTGATGGACAAGATAGTCAACAAAAAGCATACAGGGAGGATTACAACATCGCCACTTGAAGTTGAAAAGTTAAAAGTGTGAGATTAAAAGTCCATAAAGTTCGCAATATCCCAATAGTATAATTGTTTTTTTATGTCTATGGTAGAGACAAATCTCATTTTAAAGACTCAATAAGGTATTAAATTGTATGTTTTTGTTTTTCCAGTGGGTGCCGGTCCTGTCCGATTTCAAGCACAGGGACACCGTTTGGGGCTTTGTATCAGGAGACCCCACCCATCCAGTGGTCCTGCATCTCGGCGACTACAACCTGGACGGCTTCCCTGATGCACTAGTGATCCTTCGCAACACCAGCGGCAGGTCAGAAGAGAAAACCTATCAGTGTTCTCAGTTTTCTGGTGAAAAATGAAGGTCCATGCTTCACATCATTCTTTACAAATAGACAATGCTGTAAAAAAATTTTAATCAGCTTTGACATTTGTACTGATTTAGTTTTTTAGTTGTGTTTAGCCATTTCAGATCATCAAAAATAATTTTTGCATATTTTCAACTCATTTATTAAAGGGGTAAAAAACTATACAAGAGACAGAAACCATTTGACAACATGAAGTAGACAAAAAGATCTAAAGAAGCAACGCATGATGCCTCGATCTAGGAACTGAGAAAAACAGATGAGAAACCAAACCAAACTATCAACAGTTTTCAGTCAGTCTAATGTGTTGGAGTCATTTGAACCATAGTGAGAACCATCAAATGGAGAAACTACTGACTGGTGAAACTTGAAGACTTTGAGGAAAATATTGTGTATCCTGCTAATAAAGACTTGCAGGCTGTTGCATTTGCCTTAAAAAAGTTGATTTAAAAACTTTGATGGTAAATGAATGGCCATCAGTTTGTTACCTTAAGCTTAAGCACACTTAGGTTATCTAACAGTTAGTCAGAAAAATGAAGGTTTGGAGTGGCTTAGTCAAAGTGCAAAGTGAGATGCTGTTTTGATCTTAATGCTAAAAAATCCTAAAACCTCATGCGGGGTCAGTGCGACCCTGCCAGACCATGCACAGGGTAAAAATTGTTTAAGGTGAACGTTTTGTCCTCCACTTCTCATGATGATAGAAAAAAAATGCAGAAAGAAAACCTAGAAATTGAGTCTGGGAAGGTGGGAGCTTGGGAAAAAAAAACTGTAGGAACCCAAACAACATGTAGTTTTTCACTTTGGCCTAGGTCAGTTTGGATAGCTGCACAAATCCAAATCATCCTCATTTTGATGTACGTCGTCTAATTCCTTATAATTTAATTTTGCCGTGAAATATTTCTCCCTTTGACAAGATAATTTTAGCTGCTGCAAACTGGGAACACAAAACGCCACGGATCAGAGCTTAATAAATCCAAATACATACTTAAGGAGCTTATGCAAATTGTTAAGGCTTCCGCAAATTACAAATGTTTCTGTTTTTATTTTACTTTCACAAAAATCATCCTGTTCAGGCTACGCGTATTGCACTGACTACTATGAAATGAATGTACTCGATCTAACAGTTCTTCTTCCTGTTAATTTTAGCGTCTCCTCTGGTTTTTACTTACAAACAGAGTCGTCATGTTGGTGTGTGTGCAAACAACAAGCGACTTAATTCCACAGATCGCTCGGAGATCAAACCCCAATCTCAGACTTGGGAGCAAAAACCAATTTCTCTCAATTTAATCTGAACAGAAAAGCAGGAGAACAGACAGCTAAGGTGAACTTGTTCGCTGACTTTTCTCAGCCCGATAAACCGGCCCTTTAAAGAATTCCTGCACCGCGCTCCGGCGCACGAGTGCCATGCGCATCAGGAACGGGACGTATGTATTTGTTGAAGGACTTATGTGGATTATCTGTCCTCAGAGATGAAGATAAGATAGTTGCAGGGGTCAGAGCCGTGATTGTCCATGCATACTGATTTCCGTGTAAGACAGAGAGTAATAGAGAGTGTGCCTGCTTGTGCTTATTACGCTAGAGATGGGATAAAGTTGAGCCGGAGCTAAAGACAAATACCTCTGGACCCCAGATTCTAAAACAGGCACTATATAATCACAAGTAAGTCGTGTTGAGCTTAACTTTTTGTGTTTGAAGAGGAGTTCCATCTCACTCGCTCTTATCCTAGCAGCTATTGCCTCTCTATTTTTCTATTTCCCTTTTTCCATTTGATTCTCATTTTAAGCCTGAGCTTTGAAATCTTGTGCTTGGAGCATCTTCATTGCAAAGCTTTGAATGGAATCATACTTCATCTATAGCATTGGATTACACAACATCAACATTCAAAGAAAGGACCGGAGGTCTGTCTGTTGTACATACAGAAGTGAAGCTTTATCACAAATTACTGTCTTAAAGCAGCAGTAGGTAGCTTTTATAAAAAATGTTTTTTATATATAAATGTTATTAAATTCAACCTGTACATGTGTCACTCTTGGTCGGAACTCAACACAAGATGTTCTTTTGGTGTAAATTAGTTTTGGTGTGACGGACATTTATGGCTACTTACCTCTGTAATGAGCACATAGACATCAACCTCTCCATCCTGGTCGTTTTATTGGCTCCATATGTCTGAAGGCCCTTCAAATTCTTCCCATTCAGCAAGTTGCTGTTACCTTTACATGTCTTTTAAGATGCTTTCTGAATATTTTAATATTCATAGGACAGGATAAAAGGATAAATTCTTGGATGAATGCATATAGTTCTGGATGTTCCCCCTCAAACTAAAAAACTCTGATATCAAGTCGCGTTTCACACTTTTCACTCACAACAACAATTTCCGTTCACAAACCTAGAATGTTTATATAGTTTCATCAGGTGATCTGATGTTTATTTTTTCTCTGCTGGGAAAATATCTGTTTTATTCTCACTTTGACGCTCATCATGCACGAAAGCTTTGCTCTATCTTTGATTGTTTTTTTTTCTCTCCTTCTTTGTCTGCCAAGAGGCTTTCAGCTAACCAAATATTTGGACCACCCATAACTGATCTATTTTAAGTCCCTCTTCTTCGTCTTTGTTTCTCTGTCTTTCACTCCTCCACTACATTACAGCTTTCTCTTTATCCTTTCAATTAGTTATTTATAGCTTATTTCAGATAAAAGTTCTGCCAGTTCACTTCACCTCCCAGCAAAAAATGAATACTGATTTAACTGTTCACAGCAGAAAAGCAGAGGGTGTGAGATGAAAGTAATCTACTGGAAACAATAGAACAATGAGCGGATGGACGCAGCGAGTGGAATAAATTAAACTAAAACTGAAATGTTGTCGAGGAGTGTGTAGGTCACCTTCTAGAGCTGCTCCGTTGTGTTTTTTCTTAAAGTTTAAGTTAAAAACTTAAACGTTTTTTGTGCTATTAAGAAATAAAACAACATTTTAAAGTTGTTGTTTTTTTCCCTGTTTTTCCCCTGTTAGTTTTAATACAGCTTATTTAAAGGTTTGACAGCATACTGTTAATGTGTCAACCACCTGGGACAAAAGAAAATCGGCTCTAGAACAGTTTCTTACTTACTTTCCGAAAAAATAAATAAATTAAAAAGCTACATAACAGTTTGGATTAAACAAGCTATCACCTAATTACAGTTGCATGGTGATGAAAAAGAAACTAAATCATACAAAGGAGAAAAACAGTCATTGAAGAATAAACTAGAGTAAATAATGAATAGTCGTTTTAAAATAATCCAAACGGCAAAAATGCTGTTAAATTGACAAATTTGATTAATTTGTGAAATAAAGTATTTCAGTCGGGGCTTAATATAATTTTCTGAATTATATTAAGAAAATATAATTTTCTTAATATAATTAAGAAAATTGATTTCAGTTGAAATCAAATTAATATGAACTTTACATTTTTTGTTTAAATAATATAGTCTAAACATTATATCACTTGTCTATCAAGATGGAAAGAACATTTAGAATCATGTTAATTTCAGAAATCAGTTCAAACATCCTCAAAAATGTTCCTAATTTTCAACAGGAATATAATAACATCAAGAAACACAATCAGCTTGTGAGATAAACCGAAAGTATTTCAAATGGCATGGCTCTATTTTATGACATGAAAACAGAATTATATCTTGTATTACCGCCACCTATGGTGTGCTTGTAAAACCTTTGTGCCGTCGCTTTCGATGTGTTAGGTTGGCTTTAGTCGTTTTGACCAAAAGTCAGTGATCCCCACTTTTTCCGCCATGAAACCAAAATCTGCAGAAACCGGCCTGAAAGTGTGAACTCCATGTATTTTCAAAACCTGTGAAGACTGTGAAAGTGCTGAGAGCTTAACAAGCCTCATAGCAACTCTTACCCTGAGATTATATAACACACAGGTGGACTATATTTGGTAAGGATGATGACTTGTAAAGGCGGACTGGATTTTATTTACTGTTAAATTCCAAGTAATTTTGGAAACCATGTAATCCTTTTCTTTCTTTGTCAAAATTATGAGCCACTTTGTGTTCTCCCAGAAAATCCTACTAAAATATACAGAGATTTATGGTTGCAACATGAAAAAAATGTGAAAAGTCTTAGGGGATATGAATACTTTTTACAAAGAGGCACCAAACTAATAACACAGCTTTTTTTTTTTTTTCATGTAATGTAATAGTTCACCTCTACATAAGAGACAAGTTCTGTGTCAGCGCTTCTGCAAAGGCTCATTAAGAACGACGGGGCAGACTGAAGATGTGGGTGAATCTGTATATTTGTGTCAGTATCGATGTGTTTCAGCGAAAGCTCTATACGACTCGTGTCCTGAGGATCCGCGTTATATCCAGGTCACAGAACAGACGGTGACTCTCTCTCTGCCTGTCTTGCTGCGTCTTGCACATGCAGGCAAACACGCTCAAACAGATGATCATCACAACAAATAGTACATGGCTGGTGAGAGGAAGCCTTGTAGATGTTTCTGTTTGCAGAAAAACAAGCACTGTGGGACGCTGGGGACGAGTGAACCGGCATAATGAAAGAGACATTGACACACACACACTGTGAGGTAAAGCGCTATAAAAGTAGATATTTTTTTTATTCTGCTTTTTCTCTTTTATGATTTTATCTGTTCGAGAATGTTTCACAAGATTCCTATGGATAAAACACAGTTCTTGACTGTGTAAATGTTGCAGCGTGACCACTTCAGTGGGCAGCTAGAGGCTAGAATTACAGAACCTATTATACACCCAGAACGCTGCTGGTCGCGTTTTCACTAAAACCAGGAGGATGGAGCACATCACCCCAGTTCTGAAGTCCTTACACTGGCTTTAAGGTTGCGTTCACACGAGCCATGTTTAGTCTGCTGTAATCAAACTCCAGTTCATTTGCCTGGAAAGACTGGTTCAGTTGGGGAGCTGTGAATGAGCAATCG